CATTAGTACCACCTGAACATTTGCGGGGTTCTCAGGGGATCAGCCACCCACCATTTCTCAAAACCTGAGGAAGCCCTAGTTACAGAGTCAGCTGCTTCAGAGTACTATGGGAATGGGATGCCATGTCTTCTCAACTCCTTTCCACTTCCATTTGCTTCTTTCAGCCTAGAACCTCTATTAAAAAAAAAAAAAAAAAGACTAAAGTGGGGTTATTTTTGTCCAGTTGGCCTATTCAGTGAACTTTCTAATCTTATTATCTACAAAATTTTATGGGGTTTTTGCTTGTTTAAAATGCATTTGTCAAAACTACTGATTGTTTATGTCATGTGGTCAGGACATACCTTTTTCATATCCTTTCAGGTATGGTCTAAGAGACAAATTCCAAAATGTAATAGCAAGCATAATAAACTGAATATTGCAATTAAACAGGGATGACACAGAATATCAGGGTTGCTAAATCTTGCCTTGTGCCTTAACATCTTCCCTGTTCTTCCCTTGGTAGGCACACATAAACCTGACTATGGCTAACAAAATGTACAGTCTTATGGCATTTCTAAAAACATGCTTGTTTCTCACAAGTGACCCAAACTCCAGCAATGAACTCTTAAGTACACTTGGAAACAGATAACATAGAAAATAATTAACTTTTGCCCATATGTATGAATGTATGAATTCTATGGTTTATTTTAAATTGTATTCATCTTTGTTTTCTTCACAGGAAAAATAGGTAAACAAGAATTGTTTACATCAAACAGCTAATGTGTTTTTATTTAGGCAGAACTGTGAAAAAAACAAGGTATTTTCTGAATGTATGCAAAAGGGAAGAGAATTTGTGAAAAAATCCACATGATATTAATCAATAACTAGAGAATATAGAATAGAGAATCTATTCATTAAATGGGATCAGAAGCATAGTAAAGATTTATAGCTTAAGCGTTAAAGGTCCACATATAGAAGAAATACAACCATTTTTCTTGATGGCAAGAACATTAGGAAACATAATATAGCAAGAGTTACCTTACAGTGAAACCTACAAATCACTGATAGATATTTCCTCAAAGAAAACTGTCAGTCTCTTCAAAGTAAATTCGTAATGTTTTTGTAGATGTTAGGGACATCTCATAGTATTTGTGAACTATCAGACATTTGAGCAGTGTAGGTTATACATGAAAAGTGTTACCCTTCCTTTATTCAGGAGACTTAATTTCAATGTTAGAACTAAATTCAGCTGTTAAAGGGCTATCTCCAGTGTATCAATTGCATATCCTCAAATTTAAATATGATTATGTGGCTAACATTTAACACTGAAAAGAAAACAAGAGACAGAAAGAAATACCAAAGTAAATTAATATGTTTCTCATGCCTAGTATAACACCAAGTATATTTAAACAAGATACATAATTAACTTCATAATATACTTGTAAATTCAGCCTTCAGCGACCTGTATTTCAAAACAGGATCTGACAAAAAAGAAATCTCTTACACAGTCTGAAACATTAAGAAGGCTTTGAATAAAGTTCTGCATTTTGAAAGGTTTGGGGAAACATACTGAAAAAAGCAGAACATTTCTCAGCTGTGTCCTTCAATAAAATGCACAACACGTTTGGCTAAGAAGGAATAAAGGAACAAGGCTTTTCTGTTGACAAAAGGCTTTTTTGCTATCCCAGTCCAAATCTTCCAAGAGAAACCATACTCCCTTCCATGCCCCCATCATGAACTATTCTAAAACAAGCTAAAAGGCCCCCATGACCTAGATCTCTGGTCTGATGCTGGTGTCCTCAAGTTACTGAAACTGGAGAAAAATTAACTTTTTAACAGGGAATATTAGAAATGGAAAAGCTATGATCACTTCAAAGAATTTAAACTACTTCTACATGTCCTCTGTAAATATTTTGTCCATTTCTGCCTGTGGGAAATTGCATGATCTTTTTTTACTGAAAAAAGGCAGAACTTAGTTGAACCAAAAAGAGTGCAATATTCAAACTCACTTAGTCTTCACTAAAAAAAGGTTTTGTAAAAACATTGAGGATATACTCCGTGTTCAAAGAGTAGAGCTAAACCTAACACACTAAGTATCTATGATTTACATAAACCAGAAGGAAAATACCAGAAAACGTGCACTTATCCAGATCAAGAGACTCAATATTTTTTTGTTTGTCACAGATGCCAATGGGTGTACTAAAATGAACCACAGAAAATTCCTGGAGATTGAATAGCATTGAAATGAATAAAAGTAGTTGGCGCAGTGTTTAATGCAGATAGAGAAAATGACAAATTGCAAACAAACTGACAATATGCTATTTGTTATAAATACAACTTTGGTATTCTTAATTTACACACTGTTCAACTTTAAACTGGAATTCAGCTTTGATGACATTTACAAGCACCTATTCTCAAAGGGAATATGCACAAATATAGAGCTGGGGACAATTTAAACTCAGAAGCAAACCAAACTAAAGCATGGAAAATAGGGGCATTCTTCAACTTTGTGAATATCAGCAGCATCATACGGACATTAACTATGTGCCCCAATAATATGAGAATAGTGTGAACATAAGAATGAGAACAGAACAGAGTAAATAAACTCTCAAACTTGGCATATCATATAAAAACATAAACACCACCTCAGCCTTTATTCAGGAAACAATTTCTGCTGACTTGAATATTACATTGTCTTGATAAAATATTCCCGAGATTTCTCCCAAAATTTTCAAACAAAAACTAAAACCCCAAATAGTTTATTTTCTAGTAAATAATAAAATCTCAGAAACAAATCTAAAACGTTTTTCATCTTAAACCATAGGTAAGGACCTGATTTTCCTCCTAAAATTCCCATTTACAGATTTAATTTTCCAGCTCAGCAAAACGAAAACATAATTTTTCCTACAGATGTCAGTATTGTAATCTAGATCTATGGACTAAAAATCAAGTACTGGCTTCTTCTGGTCACACATGATCTTTGAAAATAAAAAATTCAGAACTTTAATTCAAACATATCTGATGCCAAAACACATCTCTACTTACAAACATACTGAAGTCATACCTGGATCTGATTGCTTTAATCTGAATAAGCTTTTGCTAAACACTGGCTTTAGCTGGCCATTTTGTTGATGGTGAATTCACAGGCTAGCCTCTTGGAGCTACAATATATTCACATATCAGTGGACATAGTGATAAAAGGATTTTTGGTCTGTAACAAGGAATATTTTCCTCGGTATAAAAAATGTATTCTGTCTTTGATCCATTAGAGGTACTCCCTGGCTAGAAGCTCCCAGGTGGTACATGTATCAAAAGCAAGATGTGGACTGAGAAAGAAGACAAGTGTAGTAAAAAGTGGTATTTTAGCATCATTTTTCAGGCCATATATTCAAAATGCAAACTTTGTGTTGTGTTGGTTTTTTGTCTCAATTATTTCCTCTGAACATCTCCATTTTTAGGATCTGCTGTTCTCAGAAATAAGTCAATATAATATCTCTGTACTTTCAGGAGTTCAGGAAGCTGAAGTGAGGGAGTTCAAGGAGATTAAGATTAAAAGAAAGGAACTGTATTAAGGGCATGTTTTAGTTCAGAGTTCCCCAAGTCAAGCATCAGAGAAAGGCTGCCAGCATACCTAGCGAACATGTTGTCAAACACAGTTGTTCTGATGCTTTCAAACCCTGATTCCACAGTGGCAATATGCACAGGAACTTTCAGCTACTTAACCATATTTTTTCTTGAAATATATAATAAAGTAATATATATATGACTATGCATATTAGTGCTGAAATTCTAGAGAGGCTTAATCCTTCCTCTGCACTCTGGCACTCTTAAGTTGCTTGCGCATTTCTCTCTTTCTTTCCCCTGAATAAAATCTGCAAGAATCATATAGGTTTCTTCTGCAAATCCATATTTTGTTCTTTTGCACCTCTACATACTTTCAAAACTTTAAAACACATGAATATCTTATTTTTAATGATTTTGTTAAACTGTGTGTTGGCAATGACTATGTTTTGAGTATGTTTTACAAAGTACAGCTAAGTGACTTGCATTGAGTTCATAAGGCTTCTGGCAGCGAAATTTCTAAGCACTTATTTGAAAAGAATAAATGATTCATTATAGATGTGTTGTAGAAACACCAGTTATCCTATAGCAGATGATGAACATATTTCATTAGATATTAGACAAATTAAGATGAGCAGTGCATTATGTAGTTTAACGCAGTGGGATAAAGAATTACTTTACAGATACTTGCTCACTCCAAAACTTAACAGCATTCTATCACTACTGCCCTATTCACCAATTACCTCCTATTCCAAGCTATCACGTAGCTAGAGTTAATTTTAAGCAACCACTTATTGTCACTTCTGAAAGTTGCCCAACATCACTAGGCACTGGGTGATGTCTCAGAACACTGACTGACACAGACCTGCTGTACAGGAGAGGGACAAATGACAACTGTTCAGAAAGAGCCTGAGAACAGATTCGTAATAAATCAGCAATATATCACTAAGTAAGGTATGCAGGGTTGTTACTTTCTTCTAGCTATATCAGTCAGAGATTTAACAGTTCCGTAGCTTGTTATGATGTCTGTTTCTGCACATTTTCAAGAGTAGTACTCTAACTTCTAAGCAATTTCTACTTGCCTTTCGAGTACCAGTGTGTTAATAAAAAGACAAAAACACTGTAGCACAATCCTATTACAACTATTATAACGAACCAGAATTTCTGCTTTTGATGTTGAGTCTTTGAACTTCTTTGCTTTGAAATTTAGTCATAAAACATACACGTCTACCACAGAGAACACAGCTTGTCCAGAGGGAACAATACCAAAAGGGTTTTTTGGAGGGGAAAAAAAAGACTATGAAAAATGGTAAATATTTTCTCTTGTCTGCTAATATTTTACCAAAAATGCCAAGTCCTATGAGTGTAGGACTAAATGGATGTAATTATTTTAAGCTAAACACAAATAAAACAAAGATATCAATATTTAAGTGCAAATGTAATACAATCCATCATCATACCTTGTTATGTGTCTGAGTTTGTCCAACCAGGATAAGGATATTTGATGAGATAATAGACAGGCAAAAATTGATTAGAATTATTGACCTCTCAGATCTGATGTACCTGTTCAGATAAACAAAGAGAGGGTACAACTTTTCTAAAATGAAAACAAATAGTAAGTCATACAAAGCTTTGGCGCAATTCTTGCATTGAATATTGGAGATACTCTGAAAGGTAAGCACACCCTTTCAAGTCCTGAAAAAGTGTATCAGGGAGCTATTACATTACAAACATAGGAACAATGGTATTTTGATAGATATTCTGCAGTTCCCTCTTAATATCTTGGTATATTTTAAAAATCATCTAACAATGCTTCTTTTAAAAAACCGCTGGCAACATTGTTCTAACACCATACTGATAATAACGGGCTTGCATGCATCCATGTCAGGAACTTCTTATGCTATCTGCTAATCCCTGGGAATATCCACAGCTGGCATAGACCACTCACAATAACTAACTTCAGCAAAAAGATGGTGATTTACAAAAACAGAAGTTCTGGTCCATGATGCAAAAATAAGATGCAAGTTGGTTGATGATACTATGGCAGCACATTTTGAAACACGTTACTGGGATAATGGTAACATTAATCTTGAAGTTCCACCAGATTTACCAAATAGTTTGTATGAAGAAACAATAATACTGTAATATTTTTGTCTTCATAAGACCTAATGCGAAAAAATAGCTAAGTTTGTACAGAAAGATTAAATTACAGCAGTGAGTATCACACACTCTGTCTTGCAAACTTATTGTATTTATTTTACAAGTACACTTAGGATGAAGAAGTCAAATACTCTTATCATCTATTTCCTTACGAGATGTAAATGTTCCTGTTTTTCTATATACAGCATTTTATATGCTACAGGACAGAAAGAGAATGATTATGGTTTCAAGAGAAGTACCTTACTGACTTGATTTTTAGAGCTGCTAACAGAGTAAATGTTGACTACTGAAGTAAATGAAAGTTAAGGGTGCTCATTTCCTCTGAAGACCATGCCATATGTTTATATATTCTATGACCTATACTATATACTTCTCACTGGAGCTTAGTTAATATTGCTGTCTCCTCCTGAGCTGTACACCCGTAGCTGACACCCTGAGGAGCTCATAAGAAAGGGTGCTGAACCCATGAGAAATGCTGAGCTTTGGACATGAAATAAATTGTAGTCCTTTTTGCTCAGCTATCAATTAAGTAATATAGCATTACATTTTTTAGTTAAGAAGACAGAACAACCCTGATACCAAAATGCACATTTTTCCTTAAGATATAAGAATGTTGTTAAGGATAGTTTTGTGTGTTGGCAAACAAATACAGGAAGTCACCTTTGTCAACACAGTCAGTATGCTGCTACTTTCTAACCTGTTAACTATGGATTCACCTGGGTCAGTCCCCAACACTGAATATCTATGGACTATAAAGGATCTTAGTAGTTGAGTAAATACAGTGCAAGCAGGAGTAAGCTAGGACTTAATTGTTAAGCTGGGAAGGTTTTAGTTCTTCTGCCAGCCCACTGTTGATGAAGGGAAGGGAAAAGGAAGGGAAAAGGAAGGGAAAGGAAGGGAAAGGAAGGGAAGGGTGAATATTTGACTGACACAGAATTTATTTTTTCAGTTTGAATTTTCAGTTGGGGGGATCAAATCAATCAACCATAAAAGAATGCTTACACAGGCCTTCTTCAGAGCAGAATGCCTCCACCTCATATCCCTTCTAAACAGGCCCTGCTATTTAAAGGGAGCGTGTGTGTACCACAATATAAATACAGACATAGAATCATAGAATCATAGACTGGTTTGTATTGGAAGGGACCTTTAAAGATCATCTAGTTCCAACCCCCCTGCCATGGGCAGGGACATCTTCCACTAGATCAGGTTGCTCAAAGTCCCATCCAATCTGACCTTGAGCACCTCCAGGGATGGGGCATCCACAACTTCTCTGGGCAACCTCTTCCAGTGTGTCACTACCCTCATCGTAAACAAATTCTTCCTCACATCTAATCTAAATAATGGAAAAGACCAGTTCCACTGAGCATGACTGTATTTCCATCCAAGTGCTAAATATATCAGGGAGCACAAAAATAACACTATGATTCTTCAGATGGGAATTATATCATGAAATACTTTCATTCTTAGCTTTGACAGACAAGAACTGATAATTCTTATACTCTTTTTGTTATAACTTATGTAACTAGATATTCTATATTTATTACATATATGTCTAATCTTGTGAGTCTCTGTAGCTACACAGGAGAGTGAAAGAGAAAAGGATATAAGATTATCTAGCTGCTTCTAAAAGCAGAATTCTATTGGTTGATTTTACATTACTCTAAAAATTATTGTTTTCTCCTTGTGTTTCTTCTTACTTGCATAAGAACCTTTTTTTTTTTATTATGAGAACTATATATGAGAACTATTATTTTATTTTTATTATGGGTTAAATGAGAACCCATGTTCACTTTTTAAAAATATTTATTACTTTGCGTGACTTTTCCTCTTACTTTTCTCATCGATTCTCAAATTAATTTTCTCCA